TGAAAAAGTTGGCTTAAAGCTCAACATTCAGAAAACTAAGATCATGGCATCTGGTCCCATCACTTCATGGGAAATAGATGGGGAAACAGTGGAAACAGTGTCAGACTTTATTTTTGGGGGCTCCAAAATCACTGCAGATGGTGATTGCAGCCATGAAATTAAAAGACGCTTACTCTTTGGAAGGAAAGTTATCACCAACCTAAATAGCATATTAAAAAGCAGAGACATTACTTTGCCAACAAAGATCTGTCTAGTCAAGGCTTTGGTTTTTCCATTGGTCATGTATGCATGTGAGAGTTGGACTATAAAGAAAGCTGCGTACAGAAGAATAGATGCTTTTGAACTGTGGTGTTGGAGAAGACTCTTGAGAGTCCCTTGAACTGCAAGAGATCCAACCAGTCCATCCTAAAGGAGATCAGTCCTGGGTGTTCATTGTCTTAGGATCACTTAATTCACAAATCTAATGGGGTGGGTGAAAGATGGCTGCAAATTCTTTGCCGTTCTTCCTATGGAATAGTGGAGTCTCTTCCCCTTTTACTGGGATTTTCATTGCTTTAAACAATAAAATGTGGTAGGAGTGATGCTATATAACTTCTGAGGAAAGGCCATATGTAAGAGGTCCAGAGCTGCTTCTTCCCCAGTCTTGGTCCAATCCCATTTTGAGCCAGTCACCACACTTTGTGAAGCCCAAGCCACAAGGAGAGGTCACATGAAAGAGAACCATGGCACCGTGGTTGACAGTCACAGTTGCGCTCCCAGTCAGCTTGAATTTGTGACTTACTGATCCTAAGACTATTTATTTATTATATATCTTATTTCTGGTTATGCAAACATTTCCACTGTAGCGTTTATCCAAATGTGGCAGCCTTTATTCATTTCTTCATTCCTTGAATATCCACAGCCCTGAAAGTAGGCAATGTGTAGAGAGATTATTTTTTTGTCTCATAATATTCTCTAATTTTTATGTGTATTCATGTGAGTGAGCCATACTGGACATCATTCAACTGTCTGTCAGATAGGACTGCTATTTCTCAGACACAGCCCTTTTTTCTGACATAAGATGGGTCCCCAGTTGTGGGACACTCCTACCTCACTCTCTGAGGGTTTCACTGAAGTCATCTCACCAGACCTGAGCGCAAGGCAGCATGCCTGTCTGGACTGGCATTCATACAGAAACATGTGAGGGAGTCGGGAGCAGGAGTTAATGATCACAGCTACCGACTACCAGACCTGTTTCTACCCTAACTAACTCCCTGCTCTATCTAAAATAAGTCTCCTGATAATATCCTTTCACCACCACACTTAAATTCTTAATGCCTTCCTTCCTTGAGGAAGTTTTCTTGAGGAGCAAAAATGACTGTTAAAGAGGAACAAAGAAGGAATGTGACTCCTTTATTGTTTTCAGAAAGAATGAGGAGAGCTAGGAGTAGGAAAAGGTCAGGGGATGTTCACTTCCTTGAGCAAAGCTTGCCTGTTGTCTTACTCGGGACTAAATCTCCAGGGGGAAGAAAAACGCCCCTTCTCACCTCAGCCGTGGGTGCTGGGAAGTGACTTGCTGCCTTGACTGAAGACATGTCCGACGCGCACTTCACTCAAGGACCAGGACGCCTGTGGGGGCCAGGGAGCTGGCCTTGGGGGTTGATGATGCCCCGTGGGGGACACCTGTGGCATTCACATCTGCCTGTAACTGAGTTAGTAAACTGGTTTCATTCCAAGGTGGAATGTTAGCAAGCTTTTCCCCTCTCTGCAGAGCTAAAAGAAAGCTTAACAGTCAGCTTCCTTAGCAATACAGTGGATATTTTCATCTCCATAAGTCTATATTCTGCCTTATTTTTCACTTGATTCTAAATTCTATAAGGGAAAAAAGGGACAATATTTTTGGGCTTCTAAGATTTCAGTGGAAAATGTAAATACTCAGCACTAAAGGGCAGACCCTAGAACCCCTCTGCAGCCTATGTAATGAACTTGGGCCAAGTGAGGAAGCACTATTCTATTCTATTTATGCTTTTGTCAAAATTGTGGGATCTTAGTTTCCCCACCAGGGATCGAATCTGGGTCCAACTTGGGTCCAACTTGGGCCCTGGCAGTGACAGCACCAGGTCCTAACCACTGGATGAGGCAAATGACAATGCTGACAGTTGTAAACTGTCTCCAACTATTGGATTTTTAACCTTGACACAAATAATGTAAAAATCCTGTAAAACAATGCCCACTACCACATCCTGGACTGCAGCTAGAAAGTAAGTCACTTGTTAGAGGACAACACCAGTCTGTTTCCTAGTGCTGCTTTGCATCCTATCCCCCACCTGCTCTCACCCTGTCTCTCAACTGACCCCAGATCCACTTGGAGATGCACCATGAGACCCTAGTCCAGCTCATCCTAATAATGAATCCAAGGCTAGTTCTGACCTCTGTGGCTTGGGTTTGAGAGTAGCTTTCTTGACTTGGTATTTCACTTTAGAAATACTCAAGGAAACAAAAATGCAAAGAAGTGTGGGAAGTGTATATGTACCACATATGTTAGTCCAATATATTGTGAGGCATAACTGTGTGCCAAGCACTTGGAGTAAACCAGCTCTGGGGCTAAATGTTTACATATATTGTTGTTTAGTCGCTAAGTCGTGTCTGACTCTGTGACCCAATAGATTGTAGCCTGCCAGGCTCCTCTGTCCATGGGATTTTCCAGGCAAGAATACTGGAGTAAGTTGCCATGTCCTTCTCCAAGGGATCTTCCTGACCCAGAGATCAAACCTGCATCTCTTATGTTTCCTGCTTGGCAGGCAAATTCTTTGCCACTGAGCCACCTGGGTAACTTACATACATTACTTCGTTTTAATAACCATAGGAAGCCAAGTGTTTCTGTCCCATATTCCAGAGGAGAAAACTGACACCGAGAAAGGATACTAGGCTTGTTGGTAAATGACATAGTCAGGGATGGAACCCGACTCTTCAGATGATCCCAACACCCATTCTTGGGCCTCCCTCTTTAGCTGAATGCTCTGTTGTCAGGGTCCTGAAATTCTTAACAACTTTTTCTTTTAACTTAGCTTTGTAAGTTAAGTGCAATGAGGCAATGGGGCAGGAGCAGATGGGCAGTGTGCATGCCTGCAGTTCTCTGCCACCCCGACTCACACAGAGCATGTGCAATGCCCTGGTGGGTCAGATAGTAAAGAATCCACCTGCAATGCAATGGAAAATCCCACGGACAGAGAAGCCTGGTGGCCTCAGTCCATAGGGTCCCACAAAGAATCAGTCACGACTAAATCAACTTAGCACACATGCATGAGTACAAAACTCCAGCAGATCACAAGTGGGAGTACAGCAAGACGCCAAGTATAGGTGCGCTATATCTGTAACTGATCAAGCAAGGGCCCCCAAGAGGCCATGCTTCCCATTCAAACCAGAGTTTTGTCCAAATACAACACAAGAAATAACTAAGAAGCCATATCGCATCTTTCCTCACCACTGTTACTTTCCTGTGTTAGCGATCCACTCAAGGCTGAAAATGCTGACACAGAAGGAAAGGGTAACCTTGAGTTCTCCCTTTCATTGCCTCCTTACTCATCAGTAAGGTAGGGAACGTCAGCAGAATGTGCACAAACAAGAAAGGAAATTAAAACAATTGAATGAGGTCTGTGCACTGTCCCTGCTGTTCTGGTGGACACAAAATGCGTGTCTGAGTTAACAGACACGAATTGTGTACTTCTAGGAATACCGCATTTGAGTTAAAAAGTTCTTGCTTGTATTTGAAGTGAAGTCAAAGTCTCTCAGTCATGTCCGACTCTAAGAATGCTCCAGGCAAGAATCCTGGAGTGGATTACTATTCCCTTCTCCAGGGGATCTTTTCAACCCAAGAATCGAACCTGAGTCTCTTGCACGGCAGACGGATTCTTTACCATCTGAGCCACCAGGGAAGCCCTGCTTGCATCTAAAGCTGGCATCACAATATAAAGAGGAACCATAAAATTCACACTGATAATTTTAAAATTTCAACTTAGCATTAAGTAGTAATTTTTTTAAAAGTCAAAAAGAGGGCCCATGGTAGAGGGGAAAACTTGATATTTTTAGTACCTCTTATGGCGTTTTTTCCTGCTTTTCAAATGAGGGACTCCACAAATTACACAGCTGGTGCTGTTGGTGAGTAGTGACATTAAATGAGGGAACGACCTCAAATTTGTAGGAAATAGATCTAGGAGGTCTTTATTTCCCTATGACTGAAAACAACTGGCTCCTCTGGGGTTTTGAATATCTTTTTTATTTCTCTCACGTCCCACAACAAAAAAAAAAAAAAAAAAAAAAAGAGAGAGAGATACAATCAACGCAGGTACAAGGATCCAATTTTTAAAAATCAGAGTACAGAGGACCACAGCCCGGCCCAGGTCTAACTTACATATTTACATTTATGGAGAGGTGTGTGGTGTGGGTGTGGCTGCAGAAGCACGTTTAAAAGGCAGTATTACAAAATATACAAAGGTGATCTTTCTTAGTAGAACCTGGCCTGGTTTCCAAATGAGAGCGCTACATAACACAAATCACAGTACTACTTACTATATAACTTATGAAAAATGCTGTACAGTTGCAGGAGTATAAATGGCTCTGTTTTGGACTCAGTATCTACACAGGGAAGGTCAGGGAAGGCTCAGTTCGGCATCCCAACCTGCTAAAGTGATTGAGAAGCTAGGATAGGGACAGACAGGGTCTGGGAGCACGGCTGCATTGATCCCATTTCCCAGGCTCGATTGAAGCTCACTCACTTTCCAGGGAGAACTAGGTTTGTTGAGGGTAAGAAGCAATGACAAGAGGAGGTGTAAATAATAATACAACGGGCGCTCTCAAAGGCACAGAGAAGGCATCTGGGCCAAGAAGGAGCACACTTCTTGGATCGACAGACATGCACGCACCCCACTGCCACTTGATGATCACGGTTCTGTGGGCAGTCCAGCCATGCCCTGGTTTCTACCCTCAATGAAAAATTTGGAGCTTTGCAGACGTGGAGAGGGGGCAGATGAACCAAAGTTCATTTATGGATGGGACTATGGGAGAATGTCTGGAAAGAGGTTCTGGCTTTGAGGGATGGATGGGTGGGTGGAAGTATGGATGGAAGCTGACCACTGAAAGCTGACCCAGAGAGTCATTTTGTACAAGGAGCAGGGGGCAGAGAGAGGTGTAGAGCTGTCCTACGCTCAGGTGCTTTATGCTTCAGGGGACGGAGTGGAGGGGACTCAGAACTGGCATATCTTACTCCAGAAGACTCAGCAGGGGTGATTTTTGTCAGCACTAGGCTTTAGCCAGAACATACACCGATTTGGTTTTTAAATTAGCTGGGTTAAGAAGCACCCAAGGCTCTTGTGGCAGAGATGAACCATCTCCCTCAAATGTTCCTCAAATCCCCACAAATTCCCAGCACTCATCCTCCACCTGCCAGCTCAGGGCCAGGACTGCTCTTATGAAAACCCTGCCAGGGGATGTGAGGAGCCCTGAGAAGGGGAAAAGGCCACAACGATATATTCTCCAAATACCAGACAATTGCACCATTTCCCCTGGATTGGGCTGCTCTTGGACTGTAAGGGAGCAGCTGCTCTTGGTTGAAGCCAGTCTTTGGTAAAAGAGAGAAGCCTGAGCTGGATCATAATAAAGAAAGGTGTACTGAATACGCACCTCTGAGAACCTGCCTTAAATTCCTCCCTTGGGGCTTTTCCTTTGGAAGAGGATGGTCAGGGGGAAAAAAAGACCTATTGACCAACCCAGCTGTGTGCTGGGGAAATTGGGATCATCTGTCTGGCCAGGTTTCACTAGTTCTCTTTCAGTGTTGTTTTGCCCCTTCCCGGGCCTCGAAGGCCCAGGGAGCGTGGGGCTGGGATGGAACTACTGTGTGGGCTTGATACACTGGGCCAAGGGAATGAGAGCTGGGATGGAAGTCATTTCTCAGTGGGGAAGGAATTCCCCTGAAATGGAGGAAGAACCAGGAGGGAGAGCGTGTGGACTATGGGCAGCCCTCCTCCCACCTCCGGGCAGCCCCTACCTACAAGGCTGTGACGCTGGGAATGGTTTTGGTGCCTGAGGCATCCACCTCAGACTTGGTGACCCCATCCCAGGCCTCTTTGTCCATGGCCAAGTTATCGAAGGCCTCAGGGGCCTTGACGGGCTCGTCCTTCACCTCCTCCAGGTCTTCGCAGCACTTGCTGCAACGGCAGCACTTGGAGCAGCCACACAGCCCACAGCAGGCGCGGCAGCAGCAGCAGCACCACGTCTGGAAGCAGCTGGTGAGGGAGGTGATGAGCTTGTCCCAGGGCTCCAGGGAGCGCAGCCACACGGGCAGGAAGGCCCAGCTTCGGAGCTTCTGGGGCAAGGCGCCGGGGCAGAAGGACTGCAGGATCTTGAGGACCACCACCAGTAAGATCACAAGGACAAAGGGCGAAGCCACGCCCACCAGCACTGGCCAGCCAATCAGGGAGAGGCCAAACACCGCCAGAGGGATCAGGAAGAAGAAGAACACCAAGTAGACGATGGCGAACCAGCGGTACTTAGCTGAGGTGTTGCCCAGCCCTTTGGCCAAATAGATGGGCAGGCGAGTGAACGGGATTGGGTACCACAGAATGATGCCTGAGATGTTGAAGAAAAAGTGGCACAGGGCAATCTGAAAAGCAAGGGGTTGGAGAGGTGAACGGGTCTGCCGCACGGCGGGGTTGGAGAGAAGAGAGCGTCATCTAGAAGTGGAGTCATGGGTCTTCTCCACCTTCCTAGCTCAGCCCAGAGTCGGAGGGATTACATTAGCTGGGGGCCTAATAAGTGTTTTCGTGTGTCGCGTGGAGAGGCCGGGGAGCCGGGAGGCTGGCGAGGTGGGGACAGGGGAAGGCAAGGGATGTGACCACCTGAATCACAGTTTAGTCTATAGGGCCTGAGTCCATTAGGCCAAATCTAACAATGAACTTTGAGAAATTGAAGCACTATGAGGTTAAGCGATTGTCCGCAAGTCACACAGATGGGAAACAGGATTCAAATCCAGATAGCCTGGATCCAGGGGCCACACACTTTGTACTTCCCTATGTGTTCCCACCAGGCACCGAGCATGATGTTAGGGGCTTTGGACCAGCCCTATCTGATACATTAGTCACTATCCACTGAGATGTGGCATAAGTGTAAAATACCCGCTGGTTTTCCAAGACAGTTCAAAAAAGTTGTAAATGACTTTCCTGGTAGTCCAGTGGTTAAGAATCCACTGGCCAATGCAGGGGACATGGGTTCGATCCCTGGTGCCGGAAGATTCTACATGCTATGGAGCAACTAAGCAAGCCTGTGCACAACAATTACTGAGGCTGTGCTCTAGAGCCCATGCTCCACAAGGGAAGCTACCACAACGAGAAACCCACTCAAGGCAACAAAGATAGCTCCCACTCACTGCAACTAGATAAAGCCCATGTGCAGCAACAAAGACCCAGTGCAGCCAAAAGCAAATTAATAAATGGATTAATAAATTAATTTTAAATAAAGGAATAGAAAATGTCATTTTTAATGTCAATTACATGTTGCAATGATAATGGTTCAATCAAACACATTAAAATTAATCTCCCTGTTCCTTTTTGACTTTTAAAACTGCGGTACTAAAAGTTTCAGATTTCATGAGTGGTTCACATATTCTATATTCATTCTGTACTTCTATTGACAGCATGGCTTTAGACAGAGCCTCATCAGATCTTTAAAATAATCCTAGTGAGCTAGAGATTATGGTTCCCGTGTTTCAGATGAGGGAATTGATGCTCAAAGGTTAGGTCACCTGTCTAAGGGCACTGGGTGTGTAAATGGGGGACAGTGATTCAGACATCAAAGGTCATCTTGCCCAAGGTCACCTAGCTGATCCAGGCAAGGCAGATCCTCCAGATTCTTCTCAACACAAGGCTTAGGACACAAGTGACCTCTCATTGTCCAGGCAGACTTTACCAAGAGGAGGGCAAGGAGACAGCAAGTGGTATCTATGTTTCGGGAATACCCTTTCCTCCTCCAGCAAAACAGCCACCTCACCTTTGTTTAAACAACCTCTGGTGACAGGAGCCTGACTACCACTCTAGGAAGCAGGTGCCTTTGGTTGTTCTCAAATCTGTCTCCCTGAGGCCTCTCCACATCACAGTTTTGGACACAACAGAGAAAAGCTTGACTTGGTTTCTTGTTTAGAAACCACGTGCTTACAAGATCATGGAAGGGCTTGGATCCCTCCCAGAGCCCCTGTCCCGTGAAGCATTTCCTTACCTGGAGTGAGCTCTTCAAAGTATTGCCCGGGCTGGCTAAGGCGGCCAAGATGGCGGTGGTGGTGGTGCCGATGTTGGCACCTAGCGTTAGTGGATATGCTCTTTCAACGGATATCACACCGATGCCTGGGGGGATGAAAATACAAAGCCCGTGGCATCAGCCCCAGAGGATGGCAGGAGATGGTAATGGCAGATAGAGGGAGACCCGGGGAGAAACTCACCGATCAGTGGGGTCATAGCAGACGTGAACACAGAACTGCTCTGAACGATGAAGGTCATGCCTGCCCCCACAAGGATGGCCAGGTAGCCAGTCACCCAGCCAAAGGGGTAAGGGAAATCTGGAAGACAGAGGATAAGAGATGCATCACAATCCTTCTGGAGGAGGCATGGGTTGGGAGGCCCAGCTGGCATCTCCCTAGGGCCCAGGCAGCGCAACTGGGCCAGAGGTTTAGGTTGTGTAAACTCCTCTCCACACCCACACAGAAGTCAGAAGCTGCAAATTGGATTGTTTAGCATTCATTCACCTTGCATATTCAAACGGTGGAAGCAAGGATGTGTTGCCAAGACAAAATCACATATTCACTAGACTTCTGAATGCTGAACACATCTGTTGTGCATGGAATGTCTGTGTCGTTTCCCCCACCCTGAATCCATGTGTTGAAACCCTAACACCTAATGTGACTGTATTAGGAAGTGAGCCCTTTGAGAGATGACTAGGTCATGAGGTTGGCGTCCTCAAGAGTGGATTAGTGCCCTTATAGAAGGGAGAGCTTGTCCACCTTAGGACATGGTGAAAAGGCAGCCATCTGTAAGCCAGGAAGTGGGTCCTCACCGGAACCCAAATGTGCCGGCACTCTGACCTTAGACCTCCCAGTCTCCAAGACTCTGTGAAACAAATATCTGTTGTTTAAACCATCCAGTCTATGAGAATTTGTTACAGTGGTTGCACTAAGATGTCACCCAAATAACAACAAAGCACTCAGCATTCAGACTCTAGCTTTCCTCCTGTCTTGGTCTCCCAGTCCTGCATACCCTCCACTTTTGTTTCCACTTAAAGGGGCACTGAGGATGTGAAGCAGCTTGGAAGCCCCAGAGACTCTGTTCTTGGCACCACCAGTCCAGGACCATGCCCCACATAGCAACAAGCACCCAGAGAAGTAAGTGTCACTCAGCTCATGCTCATGACAACCTTGGGAGGCAGACATCCTCAGCCCCGTTTCACAGGCAGAGTTCATGGGGTATGTGTTCATTGGCCAGGATGCCATTCTCAGCAATAGAGTCTCACTGGCTGTTTCAAAATGCTGATGTATTTATCCAGAACCACATGTTCTTCCCAGGAGCTGAAGGGAAGTAAGGGTCACAGTAGACTTCTGCTACCCCTTATTACCCAAGGGATCCGGATGGACTCAGTGAAGTCCTGGGCAAACGGAACCTGGCAGGAGGGAAGGCCTAACTCACAGCAATTTGAACCTAAGCTGGCTCTTTCTCAAGACCTTGCAAACAAATGCTTCCCAGGCTCTACTGAAAACAATAAGGAGGATTTTGAGGGCAAGTGGCATCATAACTTTCACACCTTCTCAGAGCAAAGACAGAAACTCCATGTGAAGGCTGTTGCTAGAAGAGAATCAACAGGAGCTCCCCTCTGGGGGAGGGGCACAGTGACACCACCCCTAGAAGGTCCAGAATGAGAGGTGGCAAGCTTACCAGTGTTGATTGTCTTGATGACAGTAGCCACCTGCCCCCTGAGCACAGAGCCCAAGAGCTTGACGATTAGGATCAGGCAGGTACAGAGGATCAGCAGGGAGGTTACCAGCAGGATGGTACCGACAATAGCATCTGAGAGGTTCAAATTCACAAAGATGTGCTGGCCTGGAGAGACCATAGACAGCTCTTGTTAGGAGGGCATGGAGCCTCTGGTGGCCACAGATTGTTATTGATTCCCCAACATCCTTCTCTGTCAAAGTAACAGAATCTTGGTTGTCATCTTGACACAGGGCAGCCCAGAATAAAGACCACTCTTTCAAGCCTCCCTTGCAGCTAAGTATAACCCTGAGGTTATGTTTAGGCCAATGGGATCTATGAGGGTGAAGATGTAGTAAAATCCAGGAGCAGACTCAGGCCTCCAACTCCATTCTTCTGCCTCTAAATCCCATTCCATGTTTTACTCATGATAATGAGGATACCTACAAGTATTCAAGGAGCAAGTTGGGGCAGGAAGGGAAAATCAGAGTGGTAGCAATTGTTAATTATAAAACTCCTTGTGTTTTTTTCTTTTTTTATATCCCTGTGTGTCCCCATGATGATTCCAGAAAAAACATGCTTATTTTAATGGATATACAGCAGCTACAATACAAGAGGTGATACATTCACATGATTCTGTGAGGTAAACCACAACTGGAGTAGTAAGGTATATGGCTCAGAATTAATGTGGGGATGGATGGAGAGGAGAGGCAGAGATACACAAATGGGCACATAAGGAATAAATAATTAGAAGAAATAGCATCAGGGCCATAAAAGATCCAGAGGAAACAGTATAGCTTCTTAAAGAAATGGAGCATCACTGCTCCAATTGGAGCAGTCAGCTCGCTGCTTTCTTCAGTGCTATAGCCCCAGCACCTCAAATGCGGCCTACTGTATAATAGGGACTCCTGACTCAAGGGTGATGGTGTCTCTTGTGTATATGCCCCACACCACCTTCAAATCAGGCTGTCATCTCCCTAAGTGACTGCCAAAGAGATACCAAAGCCCATGGAGGGAGTGCTCTGGAATCTGTGGATGAGTTCTGAATTGGCCTGGAATGGCCAGAAGAACTGAGTTCCAGGTCCTAGCTCTTCCCCTTACAGGGGGACCTTTAGCCTGCCCCCCGGTCCCCAAGCCCTAGTTTCTTCTGCCGTGAAAGCTCACAGCGCACTGTCCCATGTGGGGCTGGTGTTCAGTGACTCTCACTGCCCTTCTTCACCTCACTCACTGGGGCTCCACACAGACAGGAAATGGCCGCCATCGCCCCAGACAGCCTGCCCCAGTGGCTGGCGCTCTGTGAGCTCCACTCACACTTGGCAATGTTCTCCTTGTAGGTCACGTTCCTGACGGTCCAGGTGTGCAAACCATCCGTCCAACAGAGGGAAGGGGAGGTGCAGTTCTCAGGCGAGGGGACGGTGACATTTCTCTCAGTCTGGGTGGCAAACATGAGAAATACTATGCATCGTCTACAACCCTCACTTCTGGTGGGGAATGGAGGGAAATTCGGGGCATCAGGGAGACTCCATAAGTGTGGTACACTGCTTTCACAAGTCCCTCTATAAATCGAAGCAAGGTGGCAGCCAGAGATAGGCCAGGAGACATGAACATAATTAGCCAGGAATAATGTGTCCATGATGTGGACTGGTCCTGTCTGTCCTACAGCATGTTAATCCATCTAGAATTCAAGGACTTAAGGATTCTCACTGGCTAGTTTTGACTATTCAGGAATCCTTGATTTTTTTCTCCCGACTTTTTAATATGCCCAATCTGAAGGCAAGATCTTACTTTATCCAGTACAGACAAAAGGGCTAACTCAGCCAGAAATATTCTGAGAAACTTACCACATTGGTAAAAGTTTTGCACCAAATCTTGATCAAACTTTTGTTTTGGACCGACTCATCATTCATTGCAATTTGGTTGAAAATACTTTTATCCAGCTGAGGAAAACAATGGACAGAAGAGAGTCAGCCCATTGTCAAAACCACTGTGGGACAGATGTTAAGCTGTTAATAGGGGCTCTGAGGATGTGAACCAGAATGCAGTGGTGAGCTGGGACTCACCCTATTTGCACTCTCAGGGTGGAGCATAGCACCTCGATGTCAGTGGATGCTCAGTAAATGAAGGACTGGTATGAACAATGGAGCTGTATCTTGGAAGCATGCAGTAGAATATTCATTGGATAATCAAATAAGAGAGAAAAAAAAATGAAGGTAAGAGTGAATGAGCAAGGTCCAAGCTGGCCCCTTCTCCAAGGCAACATCTACAAAGCCTTGTTCCATTTATTTCAACAATATGGACAGACCCTGGTGAGCAGAGGGATAAGACGTGAGGAAAGGCAGTAAACTCTTCCTCTCTGGCTGTGAGTAGGATATGACTTTAATCAGTGAGCCCAGGGGTGCTGAGGTGGGAACAAATTGTCCAATGGACAGCCCTTGAGTCTCAGGAAGCACACACTACCACCCACCACTCCCACGCTAATAAAGATGATACACGTGTGCTGAAGTCCCAGAGATAATAAATGCCACTTACTCCAGAAGTGGATGGCAGAGGATGAGATGGTTAGATAGCATCACCAACTCAACAAACATGAATTTGAGCAAACTCCAGGAGATAGTGAAGGACAGGGGAGCCTGGTGTGCTGCAGCCCATGGGGGTCACAAAAAGTCTGACATGACTGATCAACTGAACAACAAGAACTCCATCCCATCTGGTGTTCCTGAAGTTCTGCCTCCCTTGGTTTTTTCAGCAGCAGCTAAAGGGCAGTGATTTCAGACCCTCATCCATCTCTTCCATCCCCTTTCCCTCTATGCAGGAAGCCAGGTTACCTGGATAATGAGCTTTGTGAAGGGATCTGTGATAACTTTCAGAAGTTCTGGGGCTTCCTCTCCATTCTTGAAGTGGAAGCTCTCCACTACAAAGTTGGTCAGGCGCTCCAGGTAACCGGTGGCGGCCTCCAGAGGCAGGAGCACCAGCACGGAGAGCCAGTTGAAGAAGTCATGGACGGTGGCCCCCGCAAAGGCCCTGCAGGAGAACCCCACCCCGAGACAGATCGGTCATCGAGTGGCTGGGTACCACCTAGGCAGGTCATCACTTGCAGGTGACTTAGAGGTCATCACTGCCAGGTGTCACCTACCTATATGTATATAGGTATGCAATCTCACTTTTCTTCTTACAGCAATCCCCAAAGTGAGTGGTATTAATACTACCCCCTGCCCCCACCATTCATCAGATGGAGAAACTGCAGACCAGCAAACACAGGAACTGAAGATCACTGTGCAGTGCTGGGCCCAGGAATCTCATCTCCTACTGCCTGGCAGCGCCTTTCCTACCAGATCAGACAGTGGACAGTTTGCTCTGCGTGGTGAGAGGGAACTATCAATAGAGGTTATTTTGGCTGCAGTTATTAATGCAGCAAGTGGCTGTTTGAAAAAACTTCATCAAGATTGCTTCTGAATCGTGCATACTGAACACAATCTTCCTTTAGAAATTTGCAATTTGTTTGCAAGTACAAATTTTTACTTATGCTTCCTGCAGAGGGTTGTTTAAGACATTTTCATACACGGCTGACTCAAAGTGTTACAAATATTTCTTTGTAGTTTGGAAAACTGTTAAAAAGCCTTATAGGTGTTTGATATAGTTGTTGTTGTTGTTTCAGGAATCTATCCAGGAAAAAATTACCAGAAAAGAATAATACACATCTCCAAAGATGTTATTGAAAGCAATCTGTTTAAGTATCTCCAAAAGGGGGTGAGCTAGATCAATTATATTCTATGTGTAAGCACTTTATACATCCAGAGGTAAAACTCAGTGTACCAGTGAAAAGAACCCAGAATTTCCAATAAGAAAACCTGGATCGAGTCCCAGCTATACTCCTCAGTGAAGTTACTTAACCTCTTTGTGCTTCTATATTAATAAAATGGTGCATAGAAAAGTCTACTCAGTTTCTTAAGATCAAATTAGCAAACACCCTGGGTGATAGATATTATAATTTAGACCTCAGAACATTTTATCACGGACCAGGAGTTCAGCTATCGTTGACAGAAAATGAATGGCTCTGAGGACATCCGGTGCCTGCCAGTTCACTAATGGACGAGGCATGGTGTTTGCTGACCACCCCCAGCAGCCTGTTTAATGTCATCTGTCTGATGTGACAGTTTCAGTATAGTTGGTGTACAATACTATATAAGTACAGGTGTTCAATACAGTGACTCACAATTTTAAAAGGTTTTATTCCATTTATTAGAAAATACTGGCTCTACGTCCTGTAGCGTATTTTATACCTAATAGTTTGTACCTCTTATTTCCCTATCTTGCTCATCCCCTTTTTGTTTCCCAAATGGTAACCACTAGCTTGTTCTCATATTTGTGAGTCTGCTTCTTTCTTGTTTTATTCATTAGTTTGTTGTATTTTTTAGATTCTAGATATCAGTGATAGCATACAATTTTTGTCTTTCCCCGTATGACTTATTTCGGACACTTAGGTTGCTTCCATATCCTGGCAATTCTAAATAATGCTGCTATGATCATTGGGGATGCATTGTACCTTTGCGAATTGGTGTTTTTGGCTTTGTTGGATGGGGACTGTTTCACAATTTTAATAAGCTCTGGAAAAACCCATAACCAGTCAGAAGAGAGGCTGGGAATTGTGTTTAATGGACGCTTTAGGAAGTCAGAATTATTTCCAAGTGAGATAGTAAATGCTATTCTAACTGGCCTTGTTTTAACTATGCCACAGGTCAAGCTTCTAGCTAAAACTTGTATTCAGGAAGCCCTGAGTAGGTGCCAGGCACCTTGCTAAGTATTTATCTATTTGATTGTGTTAATTTCTTTAGGCAACATGAAGGTTTATAGATACTGTTATCCAGGCTCTGCAGATCAGGGAGCTGAGATATCACCTGATAAATATGTGATCCGAACCTCCAGCCCTACTCCACTGTAGCTACTTCTAACAGGTCCAGGGATAACAAACATGCTCTCCTAACAAGCGACAGTTAGGAAAACTCGATCAACCCCTATATGAGCCTGGTGGTGGCCAAGGCTGACCAGGGTGGCCAAGCCTCCTACCTTCTGAACTCTTTCCGGTCTCCTGCCTGCATGAGCGCCACGAGGGTGTTGGTAATTGAAGTCCCAATGTTGGCCCCCATAACAATGGGGATGGCAGCACGCACGGGCAGCACTGAAGGGTGGAAAAGAGTAAGCTAGCAAGTTAGTAAAGTTGAGGAAGGCATCTTGGCTGTGTTCCTGATGTGGCCCAAGGCAAACTTACCTCATTCAAGCTGGTAATTCCCTAAAGCACTAGGTCTTAATCTCTTTAGGGTCTGACCTCTCTGTGAATCTGAATTTCTCACTATAGAAATAGGCACATATGCCAAAAAAGATTAAAATAAAAAATTTCAGCACTTAATTGCATGGAATTCAGAGACTACATAAAACCCTCCTGTTTAAAAGTTTCACTTTAAAAGTTCCACTTTAAATCCCTCTGTCCCCCCATTCCAGATGACAGGGTAACTTAAGGAAGACCAGGAAACAATGTATAAGGACTTGTGTATTTATTATGGAAAATTTATGGCAATATCTTTTTCCCACAAAATTAATACATTGCCATATGTTCTAATGTATAAAAGCTTAAAAGTACTTTTATAAAAGTAAATATAAAAGTAAATGTTATAAAGGTATTAAGAATTATTAAAAAGTATAAGTTATAAAAGTAGAAGAGTACTTTGCAGAAGCAATGAATATTTTTCTAATTTGGTCCTCAAAAAGTTGTTCTACTTAATTTTAGATAAAAATACTGGTTTGGGTTGAAAATTAACCAGTTCAAAGTGGCTCCACTCAGAGGGTCTATCTCAACATAGCCAGGGCAAACACTGAGTGGGTTCAGGTTTGTAATGTCAGGTCCCCAAGCACAGATACCTCAAGGCCAACATGTGATGTGATTACATGAGGTTTTATTCTTAGCCCTGAGAGCAATGATGGACATGTTCTAAATTTATGTGGTTCAGTATGGCAGCCATTAGCCACATGTGATCCCTTGAAATACAGCTCTTGCAGCTCATCAGCTGAATTCAAGGTTTAATGAAACAGCCACATGTAGTTTAATGGCTACTAGACTAGACAACATAGTTCTAGAGAATTCGGAACTGAGTCTTCAAGTGTTGGGGCCAATTTAAGGCTCAGCCCTGGGAAGGGAAACAGGAGGATGCCCACTGTCTAAGCAGAGCACATCATAATTGCACAAGTTAGGAAAGTAATGGCAACAAGTCTGGACATATTCAGGGTAAATCCCAGCCTCCCCAGCTGAACAGGGAAATGCCTGAAATGCGTCTGGGCCCTCAGGTTCCTGGACTCACATGAGGAGGCCACCATGCTGACGACGATGGACGTGGAGGTGCTGGAACTCTGCACCAGGACCGTCACCAGCACCCCAATCACCATCCCCGCCAAGGGGTTGGACATGATGGAGTTGTTGTTGAAGAATTTCCCAGCTACCTTTCCTGAAAAACAAACCCATAGCCATGTGATGGGTGTTAGGTGGGTGCTTAGTGACCAGCTCCGAGTTACTGGCCGGTGGCTGTAGGTACCAGCCTGCAGACTTGCTGGTGGTATCTCAGGCGTCTTGCTTCTTCCTTCTCCCCAGTGCTGCTCTAGTCCCACCTAGCCCTGTTCCTCTGGTCCCTTCACCCCGCACCTTCCTATCTACTTCAGCCACACTCATCAGCAAGCCCCCTCTAGTCACCTGTGGTCACGAAGCTGGCCTCAGCTCTGTGCTTCGTTTGATGAATGCCAGTGCATCTCCTGATGGCCTCGTTCTGGTCAGGGATGTATTCCCAACTCACGAGATTTATCCATGTAGATCTTCTCGTTCTTCTCTATCCAACCCCTTCAATTCAAGCCCCTAGCCCCAGTCCATAACTGAACACTAGGAACATCACTTGAGAGTGTGCTCTGAGACCATCAATCCATCCCCCCAATTAATGTTTAAAAGAAGGCTGAGAGTGGGGAGTGGAACGCCTTGTCTGAGAGACAGCAAGGCCCCTTGCTGATGCTGCATGGGAGGGCAGACCAGAGTGGCATTCAGCAAGTCAGTCTGCCCCTCACACACCCCCAGCTCTCCTAGACCACAAAGATGAGTTCTCAAGAACAGAACCAAAGGATACAGAAATCTACAGTCTTCCATGTCACCAGATCTCAGTTTAAGAACACTCTTAGTCAATAGTCCCCTCAGGTGGGGAGGCCCCAAGACAGCCAGAAACCCTCACATATGGCTTTAGGTCAAACAGCTTCCTGTCCGGGGACCACAGACAAACACAGGAGCTGACCGCTTGCCCTTGTCATTGGCTCTGGCCTGGCCTAAGCCACTTCAGCCAGCCTATCATAACCATCTCATGGGCATCGGTTTTCTCTTCTGTAAAATGGGGCATGACCTCAGATGATCTCAGGTGACTTCCATTCTAGAACACTCGGGTAGACTGCAACTGCATGGGCTTGCTGAGTTGTGACTTTCTGCAAGGTCCCCAGCCCAAACCTTTGACCTCTTCCATCCATACCTCCAGCCAGCTGGAAGGCGCTGCTCAGGACATCCAAGGAGCACACGAAGAAGTAGAGAAACACCAGAAGTAAAATAAATTTCCCAATCCCTTGGAAGACACAGAGAATCTTCCCTTTGGTGTCTCTCTCTGGAGGAGGGGAAAAGGCATGGCTGAAACACTGAGAAGTTTGACAACGAGCTCAGAACTCCCCTCACTCCCCTCCTAGCCAGGCAACTATAGTCTTAAATCTAGCAAGACCTAGCAATGCGATGCATTCATGGCCGGTTGTAGTTTTCGAATAATTACCACTGGAGTCCATTCAGTTGAAACCTGTGGTGAAATGTCTAAAGGATTGGGCTCTTGCGAGGAGGGGGTTGGTGAAGACTGGGGCTCACAGGGGCAAGAGCAAGTATCACTGATGAGCCACTTAAGAGCACTTGACCCTGCTAAACGCAAGGTCAGAGATAAAGGCTTTTCTAAGCACCTTCAGAACCACACAGAATATTTTCAACAGAGTGGCTGCAAGGTAGCAATCACAGCCTCCATCTGGGGAGGGTCTGGGCCCTCACAGGTCCTGGAAGCCTACATCCTCGGCTGTCGTTTTCTCCACTCATGTTTTCTCACATCCTCCTTCTACCTGACCTGCAGACTGATCTTAGTGCCTGGAACAGAAGTGCGGCATCTGTTTGCATCTCTGCTGTTTTGTCTATGTAGACTGCCTTCCATAATCTCTTCCTGATGCCCACATTGAGGTCTGGGGACCCCTCTTCCCCAACCCCCCAGGGTCTCAGAGATGGGGCCTCATCCATTTCCTGTTGCACAGAGTCTGGTCTGGTTATAACCTGGTTTATTTGTTGAAAGAATGAATGAAAGGATAAAAGATCCCCCAATCATCACAGGAGGTTTGACTCTTAAAGCCAGGACTGTTGCTTGAACAATCGAAGGGAAAAGATGACCCAAGGTGACACCGTAAAGATCGTGATCTCAGTCTCTTGCCAGCGGGCAGTCCCCTCCCACCTGCCTCAGCTGCCCTCATTTACCTGACCACTTGATCCCCGTGTCCTGAAGCTCGGGCAGGTCCCAGGGGTCTTCCACCTCGGTGGGCTCCTCGATCAGTGCCGCAGTGGAATGAGACGGCACAAGTTCTATCTTGGTGATAGGGGCACCGGTGTCATCTGCCCGAACAAGCAGAGAAGGCCATGAGAATGAAGAACCAGGCCTGGGTCTCCTTCGGCCTTCCCAAGGGGGCCAGCCCAGGGCTGGAGGGGGCACTTACCTTTTTCAGTCTCCTTGCCTTTCTCAGGCTTGGCAGACTGCTCACCATCGGGCTTTACAGTGTATTTCTCCGAGGTAGGCTGGGCATTTTCCAACTCGGGCCAAGCAGCCATGGTCTGTGATAGGAAAACAGCTTAAAGAAGCAGCCGCTGAAAGGAAGCCCATTCAGTTTCCACAAGAAGAGACAGTGGTTGCAAAGATTCATGCTTGTATGCCCTACGTGTGGACCCTCAAGCACCGTATTTCATGCCTCTGGGGGCCTCCCTCCCTCACTCACCCAGGCTGTCACTGAACCAAATCACTGTTTCCTATGTTCCCATCCTAGCCTCAAATCCATACACCAGCCGAGCCTCCTCTGGTTGCTCTGTCTGTCTTGGTCTGTCGTGACTCTCTCCTTTAGTCAGAAAGGGAACACGAACCCATTCATCTTCATCAACTCGTGGTCCCACTAAGCCCTCACGATCATCCAATGGGCGCCCCATCTGCTTCTCATGAAAGGACAAGCTCACCTGCAGATCTGCAACAGACCTCACCTACTGGACTTACGGTCTGTGTTCATGCTCGTATACACTCTACCTGCTTTACCTGCCGCTGGGTCCTCTATGAGAAGCACGATATAGTAGACCTGGTTCAAGGCCCACAGGTGCCCCTTATCAGTGGGTGTGTGTTTAGGAGAGTCCCTTTAGGCCTCTGAGCCATCTATTAAATGGGGACACTGCTTCCTGCTTTGTAGGGTTATGAGATTAATGGTTATGTCCAAAATGTGCCTGGTAAATAGTAGCAATGGTTACTAGGCTATGCTGCCTGGATTAACAACCCTTTGTCAGAACCACATTCTTCCCAGCCTCTGATAGAGAATTCCTCACAACCCATTTTCTCAACAAGGCCTTTCTCAGCTCCGTGGAAAGGAAACCTGGTTCCCTACCCGCTGGGACATCCACTACATGCAGTTCTTATCCTGACACACGTCAGACAACGCAACCCAAAGGACTGGAATGAACAATTCACAGAAGATGAAGTACAAGTGGTTCAAACACTTATTATAAAGTAAGAGTTTGGCCTCATTAATGACCCAAATATGCTAAACAGTGAGGTCAGTTTCAACTATCAAATTAGCAAAAAATAAAAATTTAAGTATAATGTACCATTATGGAGACAATCCAGTGAAATGAGCACTGTCAAAGTTCTGGAAGAAGTTGTCAAATGTCTAAACTCCACACATATTTCATACATCTCTGACCCAGTAATTTCATCTGTAGGAATTAAAAATCTAGGGACAGGTTTTTTTTTTTTTTCTCAGAAAATCAAAAGTAGTGCCTTGCTCTGATCTCCTCTTTGGAGAGGCTTTCCCAGAACCTGGGTCTGTTTCCTTTCCCAGTTTTCTTCAACAGAAATCATTTCTGCCTGTCAGAATGTAAGCTCTACCAAAAAAGGGGCCTTTGTCTTGCTCATAACTGCATCCTCAATGTCTACATCTCTTCCTGGGACGTTGATGAGGCCCAGTAAACATTGATGGAGGAATGTGATGCCAACCAAAATGCACTCTTATTTACAGGGTCAAAAATAAAAATTGGGAAACTATTGTATTAACTATGGTACATCCACGCAGCAAAGAGCATGCCATTATAAAGAACCAGCAAAACAAACTAAATACAACCTCAGGAAAATGCTCTAGATAAATTGTGAATAGAAGGCATATTTATGTCCCATTCACAGCATGATCATGAAAGGATCCAGAAATGTTCCATGAGGGACACAAGGGGTGGTAGGATTGTTTGCGATTTTTATTTTCTTCAGAGATGCAGCCCCATCCCCAAACGCGCAGAAGTTAGGTGGTTCAGGAGCACTTGTATGGTCCCTGTCACTCATACTGATAAAGCCAGGAGGTAAAAGAAGCTGATTCTGTGAGTTCCCATCATGAGAGGATTTCATGCATTTGTTTGGCCCAAGGAAATTTCCCTGTGTGACTACAGAGGATGGCACATACTCCTGTGATCAAAGCCAACATCCTGCCATCACCGGCTTCCAGGAAGGCAGAGACCATCTCTTTCACTTCAGCTTCATGAGCACCCAGCACTGGGCCTGGCACCTAGGCTCCGTGTGCTTTCCGAACAGGATGCTGGGACCTGCCTAGCCAGCAAGAGCCAAGAGCTGTGCTCAACCTCACCACCGCCCATTCGGAGAAGTGTTGTTATTACTCTGCCATTATATGGCATCCAAGATGAAGAGCCTGCTTTATAGCACAGGGAGCTCAGCGCAGTCTCTGTGGTGACCTGGGGGTGGGGGGTGGGGAAGGAGGTCCAAGACGGAGGGGACGTGTGTGTACAAACAGCAGATTCACTTGTTGTACAGCAGAGGCGAACACAACATGGAAAAACATGTGCATTTGTGCTCAGTCGTGTCTGACTCTTTGTGACCCCATGGATTGTAGCCTGCCAGGCTCCTCTGTCGATGGAGTTTTCCAGGTAAGAACACTGGAGTCAGTTGCCATTTCCTCCACCAGGGGATCTTCTCAACCCAGGGATCGAACTCACATCTTCTGAATCTCCTGCATTGGCAGGCAGATTCTTCATCAGGGAAACCCCCAAAGCAATTATATCCAATTAAAAAAAGAAAAAGAAAAACTCAGCTACAGGGAGACCTGTGACTTGCCTAAGGCCCCACATGGCAGAGCCTTGAACCCAGGTGAGATTCCATCCAGGCTCCTGCAGTACAGCTAGCTGACCACCCTTCGAGGGGCAAAGCCCACTGCTCTCCAGGCCTGCTGATGGGGCACCATCCAGGGTGTGCTGAGAGGCAGCTACAAGGCTGGGCCTGGGCGGGGATAGTGGGGTGAAGCTGGGTGGCTGGGGAGGAGAGACCAAGGTTGATCTAGGAGAACTTCAACCTCAGCTCAAGGCTGCCACATCTGAAATGTGGGTTTGAAATGGCTCTGAAGTTAAAAAGAAAATACAGGGCTGGCTCTAGGCTAGGTATTATATAGCACAGAGGTTTAGAACCAAACCCCAGCTCTGCCCCAGATACACTGCGACTTTGGGCAGGTCATTGCTCTGTGCCTCCGTTTCCCATACATAGGAATGTGGTTTATGTTTATAAATCACTGGGTTACTAGGCAGCTTCAATGACTTAATTTCTGTACAGTAATCTGTTCAATAAATTGATCCTCTTAACTCCTCTCATCAACTCTGCAAGGGGTTAGTGTGGTTCCCATTTTATAGATGAGAAAACCAGAGCACCTAGACAGATGAAGTCACTTGGCCCAAGGTCACAGACATGATTTGAGAGTTTCTCTGACTCCAGAGTCCACATACTTGCCTCTCAATGACTAGATGGCCTGGAACTCTCCTAGAAGGAGTGAGTCATGCATTAATAGCATCAAAAGTCATATCTATCTGATTAAAGGCCCAAATCTAGACAAATGGAAAAGATGCTTCCACGCTCCAGTGGAAGTCAGCATCCCACTTTCTACACAAAGAATCCAGGCAGGGCGCCTTCTCCACCTGCCAGAGCGAGAGACTGTGAGTTCAATCCCTGGTCCAGGAAGATCCCATGTGCCTTAGAGCAACGAAGCCTGGAAGCCACAACTACTGCAGTCTGGGCACCTAGAACCCATGTTCTCCAACAAGAGAAGCCACTGCAATGAAGCCTGCACACCGCACCTAGAGAGTGACGCCAGCTCGCCACAGCCAGAGAAAAGCCCATGCAGCAACAGAGACCCAACACAGCCAAAAATAAAAAAGTTAAAAAAAAAGATTCCAGGGAGGACGTGAGTCTCCCACAGTCTCCAAGCATCTCCCACCCCAGATATTTGTACAAAAGCACTTAGCCTGCATCCAAANTGACAATATACAGCCTTGATGTACTCCTTTTCCTATTTGGAACCAGTCTGTTGTTCCATGTCCAGTTCTAACTGTTGCTTCCTGACCTGCATACAGGTTTCTCAAGAGGCAGGTCAGGTGGTCTGGTATTCCCATCTCTTTCAGCATTTTCCACAGTTTACTGTGATCCACACAGTCAAGGTTTTGGCATAGTCAATAAAGCAGAAATAGAAGTTTTTCTGGAACTCTCTTGCTTTTTTTAATGATCCAGTGGATGTTGGCAATTTGATCTCTGGTTCCTCTGCCTTTTCTAAAACCAGCCTTGGTCACACCAGCCTAAAACTGGGACCCTGAACCCTCTCCTCTGCTTCTGCCCAGGCATTCCCCCAAATACAAGCCCCTCCCCCCACCTTTCTCTCTACCTCTTTAGGCTCAACCCCAGCCTCTCTCACCCTCCTCTGCCTTGTTCCCCAGCCCTCTCTCTCCCTCCTCTGCCTGGTTCTCCAGCCCTCTCTCTCCCTCCTCTGCTGGTTCCCCAGCCCTCTCTCACTCTCCTCTGCCTGGTTCCCCAGCCCTCTCTCTCCCTCTCTGCCTGGTTCCCCAGCCCTCTCTCTCCCTCTCTGCCTGGTTCCCTAGCCCTCTCTCTCCCTCTCTGCCTGGTTCCCCAGCCCTCTCTCTCCCTCCTCTGCCTGGTTCCCCAGCCCTCTCTCTCCCTCCTCTGCCTGGTTCCCCGGCCCTCTCTCTCCCTCCTCTGCCTGGTTCCCCAGCCCACTCTCACCCTCTCTGCCTGGTTCCCCAGGCCTCTAGTCGTGCCCTTCTCTAAGCATGTGTCCTACTCATGTGACTCATCTGGCACTCCATCACACACCACTGTGGTCTGTGCTTGATTTCTGATAATAACAGCTCCACTTTAAAGAGTGACAGGTGCCAGGAACGCTGCCGCTGCTGGACACACATACCACTCAGATCTTTAGGCAGAAAAGGCGTGAACACCGCGCTGCGCTGTGCTTATGGGGCTTCAGGCGTGTCTGATCTGCGATCCTACGGACTGTAGCCCCCAGTCTCCTCTGTCCTTGGGATTCTCCAGGCAAGAATACCAGAGTGGGTTGCCATGCCCTCCTCCAGGGGATCTTCCTGATCCAGGGATCGACTGGGTCACCTGCTTTGAAGGTGGATACTTTACCACTGAGCCAAGATACACGTTTCATCATGAACATTGTCATTTGCAAATGGGAAAAACCTGCGATTCCAAGACATCCCAGCAACTTGTTCAAAGTCACCCAGTAGGTGAGTGA